CCGATCCAGCAGTTGGAAACTCTCTCCCTATTGTGGGCTCTTTTAGACGTTTCGGGAACCGCTGGCTCGCCTGCTGGCTGCAACGCACCTAGCGGTCCCCGAAAGTTTCATCGCGGAGCTCGGATGCGCGACCTATTTAACTGGTGAAACGTGGGCAGTTCGTGTAGTTGACTAAATGAAAAAGAAATACAGTCATACACGTTTTTATATGAAGCCAACGTGTTAGCACTTCGGACTTTCAATATCGCGGAAACGAGTTGAAAGATAAAAAAGCTATACTCCGCGACTTTTCTTGGCAGTTCCGGGGATAGGAGGAGAGCCCGCGCACAGCTTCATTCAGCGCTCAAAATGGGAGAGGGAATACGTGCCTGTGTCTTCCACTGCATATATGTGAGTATAGGTGACATCGCAACACACGCGCTGCGGGCGGCGCGTGTGTTGCGATGACGTTGGGATGAAAATCTTCGCTACGGACAGAGGGGCTGCAGTCTGCAGCTGAGCGTGTTCAACTGCTCGATCGCTCGTCATTGGTCAGTCGTCATCACTCGGTCTATGGACCCTTTCCGGAATTCACTGTCATCTGGTGACTCAAATGTCAGTTTATCTTTTACTATACTAATGACGGCAATGAACCTGTGGTCTGCAGTATTTTATGGGGCACTGTCACTTTTAAATGTCAACAATAAACGAGAATGTGCACTTCTCTACAATTATTTTTAAATCTCTCTTAGTGTCGGTGGCGAAACAAATGCAGCCGGTCGGAACGAAGCGCCAACCCACATAGACGCCTTGATAGAGTTCTATACATCAAGGGGCTTTGAAGCCGAGTGAGTGCTACTAACAGATTGACTGGGACCGAGTTAGAAATGAACGCTTACGCAGCTTTTGCGTCCAATGCTTGCTTCACGCTGCGCTAACATCTAGAATGTATTGGCCTCGAATCACCTGCTTAGGAGCATCTTCAACTTCTTCCTTCATCAGTAAACAGAGGGCCGCCATTAGTATAGCACATATGCCGTTTTCAGATGATGATGATAGTGATCAAAGTAGCCAGACTGAATTCCGGAAAGGGTCTAACGTTTTCCTGGTAATCTGAGCTACTAGACGAAGTCTTTTTTTTTTTTTTGCTTTGATTGTTTAGCAGCCTAGGGACTATTAATTATTATATAAAACGCATAAAAAATTACCTTTCATTTGCAACCGATTTCATTTTGATACGCCAAGTAACTTTCAAATGCGAATATCTGTTAAAATCGCCATCTTGCTTATCGCCGCGTATCTGGCAACAGTGGTTGCTGCAGCGCGTTGGCCTCCAGAAGTGGCCACGGTGATTGAGGAAAAATCAGACGCGCGAACCCGTTGGTCATGGTCAGAGTGGCCGCACTTGCCAGGTTCAGAGACTGCGAAATAGCGAGCGGTGCTTTTGATGTCTCTTTCCGTGATAAGCGGGTTAAGATTGTTACACCTGCTACCACCGTGTTTCCACCGAAGTGCTCGCCGCTCACTAGTGCTATGGTGCCTGGATCGCGTCTTCGACTGGTGTGCTTAGCCTCCTATCCCGCCCATACATCCAAAGTGGTCCCAAGGTTGCAACAAATGACGTCATAGAAGCCGGAGTGTCATGCTGTTGCCTGTCGCGATCCTGGCGGTTGGCCGTATAAATGCTGGCGAAAAGCACCAAAAGCACGAGTTAACGCGAGTGTCGCTGTCGTCACGGCGTCCCAGGCGTCCTAACTTCCGGCTGCTTTAACTTCCGTGGACTGTCACAATAGAGAGCGACCTGCTGCAGAACAGGCGTCTGCTATTTGTACTACAGCTGTTGGAACGCCGCCAGGGTCGCGATCGGCGACAGCATGACACTTTTATGACGTCATCAGGCGGAAATCGAGGGACCACTTTTTTGGCCGCGGAAAACACACCAGTCGGAGACGCGTTCCAGGCACCATTCTACTGCTCGCCGCTCGCCGGGGCTATCGACGTGCATCTACCGGGAAGGGCGCTGATGTTTTATTTGCCATATATTGTTGTTGGGGGGCAGTTACGGCTTATGCTGAATGTCTTTCTGTGGCGCCTGCGCTTACGAGCGGCATCGGGTAAAACGAAGAGCGGCACATCGCACAGAAAGATTGAGTCATCAATCTCTTAGCAACGCGCTTGTCCTGTTGCTTCTTTCAACGTATGAATTTAAATGAATAAAATAATATGCTTTTATTTCGCTTGTATCGTGCCTCACTTCGATATTCATTGAAGGTACTAAAAAATCGACACTTTTTTCGCGTATGCACACTGCCGCGCACGCCCGCGTCCGCTTCGATACGAAACCGTACCGTACTTCGCTCATTCAACACAAAAGCACAATAAAATCGAACACTGCCATCCCGCCATCGCCCTGGTCGGGAAATACCAAACATCCCGAGTATTACGTCTCGCACAAGAACTTACGTACCGGAGCGCGTTGAAACCTCGCATCCCGAAGTTTACAATGTGACTGATTTCACTCTAATTTTGTTTTGTAACGACAGTGCGACAACCGATAAACCGCTAGCCACCCTTGCACTGGTTCTCAACCACGATACGTCCGGGCGGACAGCGTACGAGCCACAACCATCTCTTCGGGCAGGGCCGCCCGCAGTGCCCGCAGTAGCCAGAGCCGGTAGAGCGGGAGGCTGCTGCCGCCCGGACGGCTTGAGACGGCTTGATCCAACCAGCTAGCCAACCAGCCAGCCATAGCCTCTCTAGGCGGCTCGACCCAGCCAACTAGCAAAGTAGCCAGCCATAGCTTGGTGACTGAACGCTTCCATGTTTTTAGTAGCACCATCTCTAAAGGTATAGGATCTGTAGGCGAGTCATTTTCTTCGCAACTCTCTGCCACCCTTCCACTGCTACCCGCCACACTTTCCCTTCCAGCCACCATAGTCGTGCTGCTCCCCTGCTTCAGCCACCGCGACGGGGGACGGATCTCACGTGCTCCAGATAATATTTTGAAGCACCTTGCGTCAGTATCTGTTATGTCGACCGCGTCGGACGAAAGCCAGCAAAAAATACAAAAACAAAATGACTGCGAACACAAAAGAAAGCGCATACGCAAAGCGCGAGTCTTGAGAGCAGCGACGCGTCGTCAGAAGCCGCAGAATGTCATTTCGGCTCGCGCTCCCGTGCCCCACGAACTTCTGCTGCCGACTGTATTTCGTTCCACCATATCTGCGAGCATTCCCAATGATATAAGCATGGCCAAGTCTTCAAGCACGCTGTCCCATCACGAGCACGCGTATGTACACTCTAAATGTGATTACTCATGACATGCGGCACAAAAGTGCATCTTTTGTGCCGCTTGATTTATGCGTAATTATGTTACTCATGCGAACGTTACTCATCCCATGAGTAGCAGGACGTTACCCATCCCATGAGCAAAAACGGTTTCCTATGTTTAAAACCTCCTCACCACTCCACCCCCCACCCCCCAACGTGCGAGGGGGACCAGTGAAAGAGTGGCGAGAAAATTTTCCCGGCTTTGAGTGTTTCTTGCAGGCCTGGATTTAAGAGCAGCGCTGATCCCCGAGCTCTTGTGAGGGTGCTACTAGGTTCGGCATGCTGTCAGCTTGCCCACCGGACCTGGGAATTAGTATACCTATCATTTAAAGATGACGCGTGATCCTCAACCGCAATGATGACGAAATTCTTATAGCTTGCTCTCCAAATAAACTGGAAATGGGGACGCAGCAAGTTGCCTGGCGGTTCGATGGCAACTTTATAGTGAATGCAGAGAAGCGGGATGAAATCTATTCGCCAACAACCTCCCAGGTGCCAGACGGGCTTGCTGGAAGGGCAAAAATAACTGTTTGGCATGAGAGAAGCAATACTCAACTTGAAAGAACTTTATTCCAAACAAATTTTATCACATCTCGGGATGATATGCTTGTCGCAATTTCTAACTTAGATCTACACCCTATTTTACTCAAACGAACTTTGAAATAAAAGTACTAGAAAATTTCGCAAAGGAGGAAGATCTGTACTCTGGTCAAGAACCAGAATAGCGCTCAATTTGTTAAGCTACTTCAAATACTTTTTGTAAGCACTTATCAGGGAGCAGAGGCGAGCTGATTGGTAACCTCTGTCGAACCTTGACCCCCGTTTTACAATGAATGTTTGCAAAAACCCTAAAAGCTGCCCATAGGAAGATGGATAGCTCAAGTTCAAAATATAATAAACACCCAGCAGAAGGACAGACGCCTTGAGGTCGGAGCAGGTGCTTGGTAAGTTGACCACCTGGGGACTGCTTCCGGGACAGAGAATACCCTTTGTTTTGGACCCCAGAAAGGCTTTCGGTACTGGGCATCCTTTCTCAACTGTCGGAACGTCTTCCTGGAAACAAAGTGCCCAAAGCTCTAATAAAATAGCTGCTACCCATCTTTACGCTCTCACTCTATAGCTGCGCTCAGCGTCAATGTGGGCTTAAATTTAATTATTTTGATTCGAAGTCAGTTAAAGAGCATTGCTTTTTGGGTAGTCAAATGGCCGAGTTATGGGCGGTATTATCACTGAGCAAAAAGCAAAATGTCAGTATGATAGCTTTGAGCCCACAGTCTTAAAAAGTATCTACGCGACTATACTTCCCTGCCGAGCACTGGGTAAGTCTATTACCGTGGTCCATGAAAGACATCTGACGAATGACAATGCCGCAGGTATGCCTAGACATAAAAATGATGTCTCTCATGGGAGACTGAGCATGACTGGACAGGTAAATCGTCGTGCTCAGTATCCCAATGCACACTTCATTTTCACGCTAAGCATATTTGCGATCTTTTGATTCATTGAATTCATTTCGTACATCACGCTGGTTTGTCCACCGAGCACTCTGCTAGAATGTAGTCGCCCAGCTATTTTTAAAACGCAACGAGGATTGTATTAAATTTCATGTCAATGCAAGCCCCCATAAAAAATGCTTGTTCCTAGCTAATACCGTGTTTCTAACATGGCCATTACATGAAGCGTTTATTTTATTAGTAAATTTGACTGACCGTGCTCAAAGCATCATCGCGGGATGATCTTGACCGCAGAAAGGCTTGAACGTCCATCAGTGTTGCTTGGCGTATCCCGTGATCCTTGCCAAAGCCCTCCAGTATGCTGGTGCACACGCCTTTCATGCTTGTAAAACTCATGGCGAAGTGCAGCTCGCATTCTGCCAGCAGCTATCCAAGAGAGTAGACAAAGTTCATTCTTACGGTAAACATAGTCAACAATGCTCTAAAAAGAGCAGCCTGTATGATTTGGTCGGCGTGCGTACTAGAATGAAATACAAAATGCTCACTTACGCATTCAGCATTCAAGAAGTAGACTGGAAGTTTGTCCAAGACGGTGCCTTTCCTCTCTTCAAATGTCACTTTGAGGAGCTTGACTACATATGGCACATTTACTGAGGCTGGGCACTTGACAGCAGAGTCGATGGACTGAAAGAGGGAGGGGGGTGTGAGGCATTGAATGCTGGAATGCACATAAGAGAGCCAGAAGACAAATTTACCTCCAGTTCCTTGAGAGCATCTGGGGTGGACTGCTGCGCTAGAGTGTCTACATCATACTGATCCGCTCCATTGTTTGCCTGCGCCTTGTCTTTTTTTTCTCGTGCGTACCTCATCTTTCGCCTCGCTGTTAACCGGCACATGAATACACTCTGCCAGAAGTCAAAACAGACGTTTTAGGAACCCTCCCTGATACCATTCGAAGCACGGGGCAGTGGTAATTAAACAGTTGAAAATGTATTTACCCAGAGACGTGTCTGTCTCGTTGAGAGCTTGGTCCCAGGTTTCGGTCGGTCCCAAAGCATGTCCGGGTATTTTTGTGCCAAAGTTGACCCAAGCAATGAATATTGCACTCTTCTCAGTGCCGTATTGGCCTCCTTAACGAGATTGTTTTCACTGTACGAAAAGAAGTGCGGCAAAACTAGAACACTTTTCTTTAACAGCTTTGCAATATCAAACTTGTAACCAATAAATACCGCGCATGAATCCGGTGATCAATAATTTCGGTGATCGATACATACGGAAATACAGCAAATGAATTATTTCTTCATCACCCACCCGCCTTCCCCCTTGCTCAAGAATTATTTACCCTTTTTCCTTTTCCTACGCTCGAAGAAACGCTTGAAAAGACAACGGAGTTCGGACACTGCTGACCATAGCAGGTCAGCTTATTGTCATTTTAGGTCGAACTGTGTCTTTCTCCCCTGCGTTGTCCTTTGCGGAGGTTCGTGAAAGCCCGCTTGAGTGGCTTGGCGTCTCGGTAAGACAAGAGAAGGTCGGCAATGGCGGCTGTAATCGGGCGCGTGTGTAAAGCGTCTATATATTGCAACGCAGCGCACTCCGACGCGCGCGCGCCATCGCTACGTCACGCTAGCAAGCCGCCGGTAGACGACGAAGCACGCTGGCTGCACCGAGGCGCCGGACTATAGACTGCTTGGCTTTCGCCAGCGTGTCGTGACGATGCCGACGGAGCGCGCTGAGTCGGCTCTTGGCGCTGCGTAGGCACGACAGATCAAGAAGCTTGAGCTCTAACCAAAACCAGCCAAAAGAATAGCGAAACAGATGAGGCGAAAGCGTCGTCACTGAGCTCGAAAAGCTACTCGTGCTCCTAATGGAAATAAGTACATCGGGAGCGCACTCGGGTTTCGGTTGCCGAAGGTGCTCCTGTCCGCTCAGTGAATCGTGCGCCGGTCGAACGCGCGCGCTCCGGGACAGAGTCTGAGCGCAGCAACGTGAGACGCGGTCAAGACCAGCCCTGTTTCCACAAACTGACTCACCTAAAGTCCCGTGCTGTGCTGGTGGATGGCCACATATCAAGCACCAACCGGCCGGACAGTCCGCATATCCAAATGCGTCCTCACGGGTCACAAAAGCCCCACACGAGCAGTCCAGGGACGCGCAGGAGCCGCGAGTGGTGCCGCCGAGGTCGGTGTTCGTTAGGCCTGGCCTGACTGACATTGTACAGGCTGCCTTGTCAGAGGAGTGTCTGTATGGATATACCGAGGTCAGAATAACAAAAGCGAATCCAAGGATTATGCCGCTTCGTACTCACCTTTCTTGAAAAAGTTATGCCTGCCGCAGCGGTCCCCGGTCTCCAAAAATTATAGCAAACAAACGTCCCCTTCTCGGAGAGTTTCGCTTCCCGGCACCCGTGTTATTTTCTTTATTTTATTTTTTGCTTCCATGGCTGCTCTTTGTTCGTAGACGACTTTTTGCGAAAAGCTAGATTTAGCGGCATTACATTTTGCAGGTCTTCGTGGTCCGCATGAGGAACAATGCGAAAGCATGGGTAACGATTCGCGAGTGAAGCGCTTCGTTACCCATGAAGCTCTCGTTTTTCACGTGTTACTCATGAGGCAGCTATCTATGCCAGTGCTTCGGAAATAAATCACAAAAAGAGGTTTGATTTTGTTACTCATTACCATGAGTAACAGTCTGCGCATGAGTAACAACATGAGTAACCTGATTTAGAGTGTACATATAAGCAGTAATTTTTTATATTTATCTCTTTTTTTTTGAAGGGGGGGGGGGGGGAGACAGCATGCATGGTGACCCCCCTCCCCCGCTCCCACCCCCCCCCAAAAAAAAAAAAAGTTTTTTTTTGTTTTTTTGTTTTTTTAATGAACTACGCCGAACGTTCATTCTCTGCCCAAATGTAGTGCAAGAGGTCCGAACCAGTTTTCAAAGTTTCAGCTCGCACCGATATGCTGTTCAAAAATTATGTGATTTTCTGAAAATTTATATGGTAAAATTGTCGGCCTACGGAGCTCTCGAATGCGTAGAGCTCTATGGTGCCAGAAACCTAAAACTGGCAAAAATGGGTAACATTTTCCCATTAAATTTTTCAGAATATCACCTACAACTTTCGAATAATGTTTCGGTTCTTACTGAAACTTTGGCATCTCATTTGGACCTCTACAGCTGTTTTCGGTGAAGGATCAACGTTCGGCGATGTGTTGTTTATTTTTGTAATAAAAAAAACACGTAATGTTTTGTTGTTGTTTTTTTTGCCGGGTACACTCTGTAGACTAAATCAGGTCCAATTGTTGGCCCCGCTCTTGTAGGTTTTCCTTCACCCGAACTTATGGTGAAACCGAGTAAGAACTCCTTTTTGAAACAGTGCCCTGTAAGTGCAAGGACAGCAGAGTCAGTCGCACTACCAGTTTGGAAGCTCTCTTTCAGGTGTCCGTAGTAGATATTTTTTTTTTCTGGAAAACACCAAGTTAAAGTTTTGGGTGACGTTCGATCAGTTTATGTATAAGTGCGCAGCTTGGATCAGCCACGTCCGTCCCAATAACGTGTTCGGAAAATACCCCTACTTTTTTATAGTTGCATTGGGCATACGTTTTATTATTGCAATGTTCGGGAAAACTTTTGTACTTTTGCGCACTAGCGACAGTTTTCTGCTCAGGTTTAGTCCTTCCAGAGTTGAAGATCGACGTCTGGGATGTCGGCACAATCCACCGGCTTGTTACTGCGGTGACGTGAAACAACAAAAAATTATAAAGGCGTGAGCGAGAATCTCTCCAAATTTACGACAGACAATTTAAAACACTTTTTCTTACGCAACTGATACTGAAAAAAAGCATTCATTTCTACTGCTGCATGACGGACCGATGCCTTGCCAGAGATTTCATAGGCACAAAAAAATATTTTGACCTGGTGATGAGTTGGTGTACCTTTCGAAAGAACGCGTCATTTTTATCAGTGTTAGGGAAACAACATTAAATCATTTTTCAACGAACAATAAAACACACGGTTACTGTGCAGAACTGCAGACGTTGCGGTTTGTCTAAACCTTCTAACGCTGTTTTATTTTTGTTTTTCTTCGGCAATTGAAGCTCGGTGTTAAGCCTGTACCCTTCGCTTTCCATCGTACTTCGGCTGCGCTTACTTAGGAGACGGTCAATTTTCGTAAAAGATAGAAAACTCCCTCAGGTTTGTTTGGGACCTGCACCATTTTTAACAGTTTCTGGCTATTAGTATTATTCCTTGTACCAGTTTGTTTAAAAAAAAGTAGGCGCCGTTATAATGCAGGTGCAGAGCGCGACACTGTTAGCGCGAACAAGCGATCGCCGGTTTTTCCAGTTTTTCTCTTTGAAACCAAAGGATGTCATTCAAGTTATTATTGCTACGGAAAGAACTCATTTAGTTCTCTAATTTAGGCAATAAATTTCGTGCTCTTTAATACTATTTAGAAGTAAAATGCAAAAATGCGCCGATGTCGTGTTCGCGCTAACAGTGTCGCTATGTGCACGGGTTAGCACTCTCGTTCAGCGTATATACACCATGTGATCATGCCAAAAGCAAAGCAACTCAAAGACGGTTAGGCAGCGTGAGATTTTCTGGTGTATTGGAGCAACGCCGGTTTACGCTGTATATCAGAAACTAGACAGGACAGACGAGCGCTAGTTTAGATACTTTAAGGTAGCGACACGCTGCAGAGGTAGGGATTGAACCTAAGATTCGTGAGTACTGTTGTGCGAGGTATTGCTCAATGTCCTCCGAGCTGCCGTCCCTTATCCCATCCCCATCTGGTTTTCTCGTGTGTACAAGGAGTGGGTTTTTTCGATTATTATTTGTAATGGCTTTGTCGCTTTAACTTAGGAAAAAATATTAATATCTTTAGAATATCTTAGGTGGCTTACATTATTTAATTTTAACTTACTTTGTGTCTTCACCGATGAAAACGTTGGGCCTTATCTTGTAACTACCACCGCTGTTCTGGCAGATGATCTTGGCGAAGGTTGTTTTTCTCAACGCTTGAAGTTGCCCTGCGGAAACCCAATGTTTATAGGTGTATTTGAATTGTTCTTAATGATAAAATTTTAATTTTATCAAGCTCATATCTTACGTTTTACAACTGTAGAGTTGGCGACAATAAATTGAGACCGTTCTAATCAAATGTGTGGAAATTGAGGATAGGGAATCGGTACAACTGCCAAGCGATACGATTGCTAGCATTCGATTTTGCTAAAAAGTAATGTTTTAAAATGAAATTTCTGTTCTATGGCAACCAAGCATATTTCGCTAGAATACATTGTTTTGTTGGAAAACAATAGCAAATAAATGACTGATTTCTTTATTTCTTATGATCACAAACGTATTATGCAAATTGAAATAATACAAAACTCCACCGCCTTCAAGAATGAAATGCCAAAAAATAATTTAACATATTATACGCTTCTTGACAAAGATAACTTCGGGGCACGTAAAAGACTAAGGCGATACGACAGAAAGAACAATAGGGAGTTTCAGTAAACCGTGTTTCCCCCTCCGCTAGCCCTCCGCTACGAAGAAACCGCCACTGCGCCTGCACGCCGATGGCCTTGGCTGTAGATGTCCGGGTAGCGGAGGGGATTAGCGGAGCGGGAAACACGGTCTACTAAAACTCGCTAATATACGTGCAGTGTCACCACCGAAGCAAGGCTCCTTCGCGGGAGGTACCTCTTTCCCATTGGTTGGCCTAACCGAAAATATAGTTAAAACTAACGACACTCTTGCCAGAAGTCTCGGTATGAGTCGAGGTACATGACCAATTCAACCGATATTTACCAGGTCCAAAAGTGTGTTCTAGAGGTGATGATTTCTTAAGGTATGCATGACGAGTGACCAAGCTATGGCCGCACAATTTTTTATCAATGTTTAACTTGACATTGGGATTTGTAAGAAGTTATCTTAAAGAACTTGTGATCGTTTTAATATCACAGTTTATGGTAAAATTTATTTATTTTTAAAACACTCGCGATTGTAACCTTAAGCAATTGACGGTATAGTGCCTTGAATCATCACGTCGACTAGTGATTGTTGAAAGAGCTATTTTATAAGAATTAATTTGTTATCCCCAATGTAATTCCCCAAAGCATTTGTGGTCTTGGATATTTTTGTTGTAATTTGTTCAATTCTTATGAGTTTTTGTCGTAACACGTCCACGGATATCAAACATTGTTTAAGAATAAAAGTTGTATGTATTGTTTTCAAAATGAAGGACAACGTAACAACAACGCTTATTCTTGCTCAACGACCGTATGTCCTAATTGCTTTAACGATTACCGTGTCTGGGCTTCTGGTTACAAAAAATCGCATGTACCAGGTATTTTCCACTCTTCAGTCTACGACGAGTAGCGCAAGTACGGTTGCGTGTGCAGGAAAACACAACTCGCCTTGTGTAAAAGAGTCGACTTGGCCCCCGTGTTCGTAAAAAAACCGGTCGCCGAACTTGAGTTTCCGGAACGTCTCGGTCACGATGGAAAGGAAGGTGGGGCCAATGGCTGTTCCTGGGACGGTATACTCCGAGATTCCCGCAGAAATTAGATCGATGTCCCGTACATCGCTGTCAAGATTAGACCTTCAATTCAGATTCGATGACACAAAGAAGCACAAGGAAGTCAAACACAAAATAAACGTTACTGTGAGGCTGTACAAGGAAAAATACATATAAGTGTCAGGGTTACCCTTGGGTGTCTGGAACACCAAATATGAAAAGTGATTGCGAGTGTGCATGATTAACAAGGGGAAGTCAGTCAGCCCTAATGGCGATCTGGTGACCTCAGCACTAGACGTTGAAGCTTTAAAGGCGCAGTTTTTAGTTCCCTATGTTTTTTTTTCTAACGCTCTTTTTTTTTCAAGGGCATGGGTTTTATCATTTTTTGCCACTGCTTCCTGAACGACAGTTTTTGTACGTTGGACCTTGATGGTAGCGTCATCGCTTTTGATTTTTATCTGTGGAGCCAACGTGTTCGGGCTATCAAAGTATATGCGCCAGCCCAACTGGCGTTTCCGATGAAGTTCTTTTCGGTCGCTCGACACTTTCTTGCTTGACCAGTACCCTCTTTTGTTTTAGGGGATTTCAACTGCGTAGTCGACACTCACGCCGACATACAGGGGCCGAGATGGGGACAGTCTGCGTGGAACGCAAAGGAGCTAGTAGGTATTATACGGAATTTTCAGATGACGGGCGCTTTGCGGGGTAGGCACCGCCAAGGTATTCCTGCATACGTGGTACGGGAGCGGCTTTTGCAACCGCTTGGACCGAGCCTACTTCCCCGCAATCTTTCCCTTCGCAGTAACCCG